AAGTTAAAGGTATATTAAATACATTATTTTATTATAAATTTATATTTAAAAAATAAAAATTAACGTATAATTTATCAACTCTCTAATTAAATTTACATACTTAACACTAGCACTAAATTTAATATCAATTTTTATAATCTTTTACATACATTTATCATAAAAAAATATTTTGAGCATATGCTTTAAATACAAATTAGAAAAAATCATTACCTAATTGGGTAATACTATAGAAATAATCATTTTATATAATTTTTATATACAACATTCATATATCATTAAATAAATTAAATATATTATTTTGTTCTAAATTTATACTAAAAAAATAAAAATTAGTATATAATTTATCAACTCTCTAATTAAATTCACATACTTAACACTAATACTAAATTTAATATTAATTTTTATAATCTTCTACATACATTTATCATAAAAAAATATTTTTAACATATGCTTTATATACAAATTAGAAAAACTACATTACCTAATTGGACAATACTATGAAAATAATCTTTTTATATAATTTTTTTATACAATATTTATATATTATTAAATAAATAAATATATTTAATATTACAAATTTTAAATAAATAAATAATTTAAATTATATATAAAATTACACCAACAAATAATTAAAAAAATTATCTCAAAATTATTTTCCTGACAATTATTCAATTAGGATGATTAACCGTGTTATTACACAATAATTGTAGCGTTGAACATAAAAGCACATGTTAAATTAAAAAAGACCAGAAAAATGAATCAGGAAACAACGTAGAAACACAACCGTAAACAATAAAAAAACAGGATGCACAATCATTCAAAGCAAATAGGATAAGTTTGATGACCTCAAGAACAAAAACCAGCCGTCGGATCCTCCATGGACCCTACAATTCAAATGATCCAAAGGTGGACAATTTTCAAAGAGCACGTGCACTTTCTCAAAAAGGGAAGAACTGAATGATTCTTTCTTACATCCAACTGAGAAACTCCGTGGAAAAGTCCTTTCTTGAGCTCCCTCTATATATAAGCAGCTCCTTCACTCCCTTTTCCACTCACAAGCAACATCCTTTACCTCTTCTTCCTTGAATTAAAAACCAGAACTTGCAGTTCTACACCAGTTCTACACCTGTAACCCACCTTTTTTCTGGCTATGGCGATGCCGAATGAAGTATCCAGCGCACTTGAACTTATCGAGTTTCATTTGTTTGAGGAGTTGTCTCCCATTGGAGGCTTTTCTGGGTCGATTGTCAGTGAAGCAAAGCCTGATGTTTCTTCCATCTCAAAAATTGATTCTGAATGCCTTGGTACCTCTGATTTCTTCGAATTTTCTCCCAATATGACCTCTTTCCCCATCAACGGAAGCGATATCTTTGAGTTCCAGTCGACGGCGGAGATCGTCGACCTCACAACACCAGGAAACCATGATTCCAGATCTGAATCGAATGCAGCTGCTTTCGAATTTGGGGTTAAACCCAAAGTTCATACTAAAACAAGTTCTGAAAAACGGAAACCATCCCTAAAAATCTCGCTTCCGAAGGAGACAGAGTGGACCCAGTTTGCTGACCCGAATTCCCAACCGGATCAAGCTTTAGCTAAAGCCAAGAAACCGAAAGCGGAAGAGAGTAGGCATTACAGAGGTGTCCGACAAAGGCCGTGGGGCAAGTTCGCCGCGGAAATCCGGGATCCGAACCGGAAAGGGTCACGGATTTGGCTGGGGACGTACGCCACCGCGATCGAAGCAGCCAAAGCCTACGACCGAGCGGCGTTTAAGCTGCGCGGCGCGAAAGCGATACTCAATTTCCCGCACGAAGTCGGGAGGTGCGATGAAAGCGCCGGAGACGAAGAGAAGAAACGGAGCAGAGATATCGCCGGCGACGGTGACGGTGACGGTGACGGAGAAGAGAGAGAAGCGAAGGCGGTGAAAAGAGAAAATGATGACGTCACGAAGTGCGGGGACGGTGGGGTATTGACGCCGTCAAGTTGGACGGCATTTTGGGATTGGGAAAGTGACGTGAAAGGAATATGTAACATTCCACAGTTTTCGCCGTTATCGCCGCACCCACCGTTTGGTTTCCCGCAAGTTGCGGTTATTTAAGATGAGTTTTCGCATGCCATTGCCACACTGGCTTTGACGTGGAATTTTCTTGATGTAAATACATATGTTTTGGGTATGGTTATTGATATTAT